TTAAGTCCATTCTCTAGTAGGTCTGCGTCTTTATTCCTGTCTTGCCCCTAGGTTCTTCATGACCATTTTTTTTTTTTTTTAGATTCCATATATATGTGTTAGCATACAGTATTTGTTTTTCTCTTTCTGACTTACTTCACTCTGTATGACAGACTCTAGGTCCATCCACCTCACTACAAATAACTCTATTTCATTTCTTTTTATGGCTGAGTAATATTCCATTGTATATGTGCCACATCTTCTTTATCCATTCATCTGTCGATGGACACAGGTTGCGTCCATGTCCTGGCTATTGTAAATAGAGCTGCAATGAACACTCTGGTACATGACTCTTTTTGAATTATGGTTTTCTCAGGGTGTATACCCAGTAGTGGGATTGCTGGGTTGTACGGTAGTTCTGTTTTTAGTTTTTTAAGGAACCACCATACTGTTCTCCATAGTGACTGTATCAATTTACATCCCCACCAACAGTGCAAGAGGGTTCCCTTTTCTCCACACCCTCTCCAGCATTTATTGTTTGTAGATTTTTTGATGATGGCCATTCCGACCAGTGTGAGGTGATACCTCATTGTAGTTTTGATTTGCATTTCTCTAATGATTAGTGATGTTGAGCATCTTTTCATGTGTTTGTTGGCAATCTGTCTGTCTTTGGAGAAATGTCTGTTTAGGTCTTCTGCCCATTTTTGGATTGGGTTGTTTATTTTTTTGATATTGAGCTGCATAAGCTGCTTGTAAATTTTGGAGATTAATCCTTTGTCAGGTGCTTCATTTACAAATATTTTCTCCCATTCTGAGGGTTGTCTTTTGGTCTTGTTTATGGTTTCCTTTGCTGTGCAACAGCTTTGAAGTTTCATTAGGTCCCATTTGTTTATTTTTGTTTTTATTTCCATTTCTCTAGGAGGTGGGTCAAAAAGGATCTTGCTGTGATTTATGTCAGAGTGTTCTTCCTATGTTTTCCTCTAAGAGTTTGATAGTGTCCGGTCTTACATTTAGGTCTCTAATCCATTTTGAGTTTATTTTTGTGTATGGTGTTAGGGAGTGTTCTAATTTCATTCTTTTACATGTAGCTGTCCAGTTTTCCCAGCAACACTTATTGAGGAGGCTGTCTTTTCTCCATTGTATATTCTTGCCTCCTTTATCAAAGATAAGGTGACCATATGTGCGTGGGTTTATCTCTGGGCTTTCTATCCTGTTCCATTGATCTATATGTCTGTTTTTGTGCCAGTACCATATTATCTTCATTACTGTAGCTTTGTAGTATAGTCTGAAGTCAGGGAGCCTGATTCCTCCAGCTCCGTTTTTCTTTCTCAAGATTGCTTTGGCTATTCGGGATCTTTTGTGTTTCCATACAAATTGTGAAATTTTTGGTTCTAGTTCTGTAAAAAATGCCAGTGGTAGTTTGATACGGATTGCATTGAATCTGTAGATTGCTTTGGGTAGTAGAGTCACTGTCACACTGTTGAGTCTTCCAATCCAAGAACTTGGTATATCTCTCCATCTATTTGTACCATCTTTAATTTCTTTCATCAGTGTCTTGTAATTTTCTGCATACAGGTCTTTAGTCTCCTTAGGTAGGTTTATTCCTAGATATTTTATTCTTTTTGTTGCAGTGGTAAATGGGAGTGTTTTCTTAATTTCACTTTCAGATTTTTCATCATTAGTGTATAGGAATGCCAGAGAGTTCTGTGCATTAATTTTGTATCCTGCTACTTTACCAAATTCATTGATTAGCTCTAGTAGTTTTCTGGTGTCATCTTTAAGATTCTCTATGTATAGTATCGTGTAATCTGCAGACAGTGACAGCTTTACTTCTTCTTTTCCGATTTGTATTCCTTTTATTTCTTTTTCTTCTCTGATTGTTGTGGCTAAAACTTCCAAAACTAGGTTGAATAAGCGTGGTGAGAGTGGACAACCTTGTCTTGCTCCTGATCTTAGTGGAAATGCTTTCAGTTTTTCACCACTGAGGACGATGTTGGCTGTGGGTTTGTCATACATGATCTTTATTATGTTGAGGAAAGTTCCCTCTATGCCTACTTTCTGGAGAGTTTTTATCATAAATGGGTGTTGAATTTTGTCAAAAGCTTTCTCTGCATCTATTGAGATGATCATATGGTTTTTCTCCTTCAATTTGTTAATACGGTGTATCACATTGATTTGCGTATATTGAAGAATCATTGCATTCTTGGGGTAAACCCCACTTGATCACGGTCTATGATCCTTTTAATGTGCTGTTGGATTCTGTTTGCTAGTACTTTGTTGAGGATTTTTGCATCTATGTTCATCAGTGATATTGGCCTGTAATTTTCATTCTTTTTCACGTCTTTGTCTGGTTTTGGTATCAGGGTGATAGTGGCCTCGTAGAATGAGTTTGGGGGTGTTCCTCCCTCTGCTGTATTTTGGAAGAGTTTGAGAAGGTTAGGTGCTAGCTCTTCTCTAAATGTTGGATAGAATTCGCCTGTGAAGACATCTGGTCCTGGACTTTTGTTTATTGGAAGATTTTTAATCACAGTTTCAATTTCAGTGCTTGTGATTTGTCTGTTCATATTTTCTATTTCTTCCTGGTTCAGTCTCAGAAGGTTGTGCGTTTCTAAGAATTTGTCCAGTTCTTCCAGGTTGTCCATTTTATTGGCATATAGTTGCTTGTAGTAATCTCTCATGATCTTTTGTATTTCTGCAGTGTCAGTTGTTACTTCTTCTTTTTCATTTCTAATTCGGTTGATTTGAGTCTTCTCCCTCTTTTTCTTGATGAGTCTGGCTAATGGTTTATCAATTTTGTTTATCTTCTCAAAGAACCAGCTTTTAGTTTTATTGATCTTTGCTATCGTTTCCTTCATTTCTTTTTCATTTATTTCTGATCTGATCTTTATGATTTTCTTTCTGCTAACTTTGGGGTTTTGTTTGTTCTTCTTTCTCTAATTGCTTTAGGTGTAAGGTTAGGTTATTGATTTGAGATGTTTCTTGTTTCTTAAGGTAGGATTGTATTGCTACAAACTTCCCTCTGAAAACTGCTTTAAGCAGAGTATTTTTTTTGCGGTACGGGGGCCTCTCACTGTTGTGGCCTCTCCCGTTGCGGAGCACAGGCTCCGGACGTGCAGGCTCAGCAGCCATGGCTCACGGGCCTAGCCACTCCGCGGTATGTGGGATCTTCCTGGGCCGGGGCATGAACCCGTGACCCCTGCATCGGCAGGCCGACTCTCAACCACTGCACCACCAGGGAAGCCCCAGAGTATTTTTAAGAAGTGCAAAACTGAATGACTGAAAGGTGTTCTACTTCGGGAAATTATGAGAGGAATACATGGTGTGTGTGTACTGGGGAAGGGAGGTGGAAGTGGGATAGGGTGGAGTGATACAAAAGCCAAGAGATACAGACACAGGCCTCTGTTTTGTGATGTAGGCTCAATATTGAATTATCTAAGATTGGATAATCTACGCCCTAGTCACTCTCATTTTTTTGCTGCTAACCTGTGGGCCTATTCATTTCTCATAATCGAATATACCAGAGGGTTGGTAGGGAAAAGAGGAAGTAAGAATCATAAATCAATTGTGTTGCTCATTGGTTTTGGATGATGCTGGTGTGAAAAGTGGGGATGTGTAAAACTGGTGGCTAAAATGTAATTTTATATCTGTGATTTTGAGGCAGAGTGATAGAGTGGAAGAGAACACAGACTTCAGAACCAGAGGGAATCAGGTTTGAATACGAGCTCTCTCACTTACCACCCATGTAGCCTTGGGAAATGTAATTGGTCTCTTTGCACCCCTATTTTCTATATGTAAAATGGGAGAAACAATGAGTTTCTTGTCAAGGCTGTTTTGTGACTTAGAGATGAGATGAAAGTGTTTACCTCATACTAACTGGAGGCTAATATTGTTGTTGTTGTTGTTGTTTTTTGGCCATGCCATGTGGCATGTGGGATCTTAGTTTCCTGACCTGGGGTTGAACCCGTGGCTCCCTGCAATGGAAGCGTGGAGTCTAAACCACTGTACCACCAGGGAAATCCCCTAATATTGTTTTGGTAACACTGTAATCTGAGAGAAGACAGGAAATACATTCAAAGAGATAACCTTATATACTAAGACGAGGTCATTTAATTTACTGGTAGGTCCTGATCTACATTTTCTTACTGGTGTTTATCTAGAGGCAAGTGAAAAATACAAGATGGCAAAGTTTAGGTGTGGGACCTTTTTTGAGATAAACATAATATATTTGTCTCACAGACTTTTACAATTAATGATATTAAATATATAACTATCCAATACATATTTAAAGAGTCAAATAAATATATTCTTATTCTATATGACTGCCAATTTTGTGAAGGAGAGAAGAGACAAAAAAGAAAAAAAGGAAAAAGGAAACAAGAAGAATAAAAACCAACTGTAGTTGAGGGGTAAAGAAAGAACAGAGGACAAGAAAGGCTAAAGAGAGCAGACAGACAGACAGACAGAGACAAGACAGGCAGAGCGAGAAGGTACGGTCAGAAGAGGACTGACCAAGTGGAGAATCCGCCCAGACTTCTTCGATCCCTGCATAGCCTTCCCCTCACTACTTCTATTTGATAGCCAAAGTACTCTAGGCTGCCTGCTGTTCCAAGCTAGCTCTTTCTTTGCCCGATCATGCCACTACTGCTATCTCTTGCCCAACATCTCCCCCACACTGCAGTCTCCTAATCAGTATTTGATAGGAGACTGGGCACATTGCTCTACAGCGCTCTAGGGCTCTCAGTAATTTAAAAAAACAAAACAAAACACACTTCCATTTGCATCTGCTTAACTGAGAAGGACACCCTATGATAGAAATGAGGGAGTATGCTTACAGAACATTGGGATCTTCTTTGGGAACACATTTTTAGAGGTGCCTTTGAGAAATGTTATCACTTTAAGAGATATAAAGAGTGAATAATATAATTTAAGAAAATATACCGAAGGATAAATGAAATTAAATCAAGGGAAAAACTGCAGACTCTGAGATGACTAACCCCAATTTATTTAATGTCTTTTCTTACTGTGTGCTGAGGGCTGTCTTCATTATCCCTCATGTAGAAGGGCTTGAGTGCTAATGGATAATTAATGACAAAGACTGGTACGTCGCCACAGTGCCTCACCAGGTACTTTTCATGTTCAGTGTGTAGATCAGCACCCCACTGTAATGAGAAAAAAGAAATTACCAAAGGAGAAGACAGAGCAGAAATATATAATGCAGGACCTAAAAATAACCTGTATCAGTGCCAAGGGCTTCTTCTCCCTGAGGATCAGGGATGCGTGGAGCTGTCTGCTGAGGTTACACAGACAAATAAACTAGAGGGAGATGTGTTAACAAGAGCATCCAAAGGCCTGGAATGATGAAAGCTGAAACTAGTCAACACTACGCTTTCTGTGCCCCATCTCAGGGAGCAGCATTTAGCAGATAAATAGCATCTGTAGTAAAACACAGTATGCTTTCCATGGTGTATAAGAGCTGATTCAGAATCACAATTTTTATTAATATTGCCAAGAGCTTCTTCTACAGTTACCGTCCCTAAGTTTCAGGAAATTAAATGATGAAAGATAATATTCCTAATATTGAGTCTATCTCTGGCTAGATGGCTTCTCCCAGTGACTTTTTTTTTTTTGATAGAAGAGTCAACTAATATATCAGATGCTCTCTGATGAATATTTAATAACACTGTTAATCTATTTATTCAGCAAATACTAATGTGCCTATTAAACCCCAAGTACCATGCTAGGTACTGGAAACTGGTATGAAAAACAAAATCCCTGAGTTCATGAAGCTTCCAGAATGGGAGACAAACAAACAAAAAATTATACAAAGAAGTCAGTTGATTATAAATATAACAAGCACAGGGCACTCATAACTTAAAGAGAGCATCTGACTTAACTGGGAATGGAGCCAGTGTAAGGAATAGTTTGAAGACAAAGGTTCTTTGTCTTAACATTATCTTACTATTCCCATTTGTCTGGCAATATCTTAATTATAGGAAAGAAGCACTGGCATAGGAATGAGGAGACTTGCTTCTAACATTATGTGCATGTCCACTGATAAATCATGTGGCTTTTCCAGACCTATGTCCTTACCCATAAAATAAAGGAGTTCTGGGAAAAAACAAAAACACACAAAACTCAGTGTTTTTCAAAGTGGATCACAAATCAGAAGCCTCTATAAAGTTCAACGGAAAAAGAAACGTGTTTAATGTGTTGCCTAAACTTATTTGATCACATAACCTCTTCTGTCTGTCAACTGTTAACATCATTCCGAATGTACTTTGGGAAACACTGAACTAGTTGATTTCTACACTGATATTCTATGATTACCAATCTTTCTAAGGAATTTCATCTTCCTAAACTTAGGGAACTTCTTTATAACCCTTTTGTCACTGCTATTCCAAATGATATGATTCTACTTCAAAATTATTTTTCATTCTAAATATTTCAATGAGGTTAGGCAAACATCAAAAAAAGCCAATGTACAGATATGCAAATACTACATACACACTGCTAGTAAGAGAAATAAGGTTATTTTAAAGGATTCTTAATGAAATCAGATAAATATGAGAAACATATTTCCATACATACATACGTGTGTGTGTGTGTGTATATGTGTGTGTATGTATATATGTATATATGTATATATATATATATATATATATATATAAATACTACCTTTGGAGTGAAGGTGAAGTTCTGGGATGCCTGCTTTAAGATCTCCACTGCCTCAGTATAAGAAATGCTGGAGAGAAACAGGGTAAAAGCAGAGAAAGGTTAATACAATGGCTGTTGTTAACTAGTGCATCTGAAAACTGTGAAAGACCTATTCTCATACAGTCTTTGAGATCACATCTGAGTATCAAATGATTGTAAAAATGATTATTGAGTAATCAGGAATTAAGGTTGACCTATGAGAGTCTGATCAGCATGAAGAGAAATGGCCATTCAATAATCCCACTCCTGATCCACTTGCAGTGTACACAGAGAAGCTAGTCACTTAAGCAAATAAAGATTTTCTCTGAATTCATGTTATGCTAATGCCCTAAAAGGTGTGAAATACTGAGGCTAAAAGAGCAAAACTCTCTCCCTAAAGCTGTCATTCATTCATCCAACATATACTGAGTGCTTACTATGTGCTAGGTATCATTCTAGGCACTGGAGATACAGTAAATAAAAACAAAGCCCCTGCCTTTATGGAGTCGCTATCCGTGTGTGTGTGTGTGTGTGTGTGTGTGTGTGTGTGTGTGTGTGTGTGTGTGTGTGTGTGTGTGTGTGTGTGTGTGTGTGTGTGTGTACACACACAATGGGGATAAGACAGATAAACAAATAAACAGAAATAAGCCAGGAAGCTATTGGTGCTATGAAGAAAAACAAGGCAAGATCAAAAGACAGAAGGTATTTGGGGGGTGCTATTTTAGATAAGATGGTCAAGAAAGGCCTTGCTGAATTGGTGACATTTGAACAGAAACCTGCATGAAGTCAGGAAATGAACCATATAAATACCTAAGGGAAAGTATTCCAGGTAAAAGGAACAGTGAGTACATAAGCCTGAAGTGAGGAACAGTTTGGCTCATTCAAAGAACAAAAAATTCACTGTAACTGAAGCATATTGAACAAGGAGAAGAATGCCAGAAAATTAGATTGGAAAGGTAGTCAGAGGTCAGATCCTATGAACTCTTTCAGGCCATCGTAAGGCTTTTGTAATATATTCTAGTATTGTACAACTGTTTAGGAAAAGTATCATTTTTGGTTACCTCAGTAAGAAACCATCATGCCTAACACAAGCCAAACCAAGAATTTGTTTTAACGGTTTGGATAGGTGATATATGCACATAGTTTTAAAAAAAAAATCAAGGTGAATAAAAGAGTATACATCTTTCTTCCATCCCTGTTCCACAGCTACCTAGTTCCTCTCCTCACACACAATTACTGTTATTGGTTTCTTGTGCATCCTTCCAGAGGGTTTTATGCATCTATAAGCAAATATTAATACTCAATCTCCCCTTTTTCACAGATGGCAGCCATAGCATACATATATCATACACACTCTTTTACACCTTTTCTTACTCAATAGTATACCTTGCAGATCTTTACATACCCGTACATGAAGAACTTCTTCACTTTTTGAGCTATTACATAACATTCCACTTTGTGGATGTATCCTAATTAGTTTAATCAGTCATCTATCGATGGATATGTCAGCTGTTTCCAATCTTTTGCTATTATAAATCATGACTACATATACCTAATTTATGCTCATACTGATTTTGCACATGGGAAAAATGGAATTGTTGGATTCAAGAGTATTTGCATTTGCAGTTTTCATAATTTTGAAAGACACCACCAAAGATATCGTTCCCCTTTTACAGGGTGATTCCAATTTATGCCCACCAACAGTATGTGAAAATGTCAGTTTCTCTATGTCCTCTGCAACAGTATTCTGCATGATTAAAAACAAAAATCTACGGGCTTCCCTGGTGGCGCAGTGGTTGAGAGCCCGCCTGCCGATGCAGGGGAAACGGGTTCGTGCCCCGGTCCGGGAGGATCCCGCGTGCCGCGGAGCGGCTGGGCCCGTGAGCCATGGCCGTTGAGCCTGCGCGTCCGGAGCCTGTGCTCCGCAGCGGGAGAGGCCACAACAGTGAGAGGCCCACATACCGCAAAAAACAAAACAAAACAAAACAAAACAAAAATCTACAAACTTTCTGAAGGACTCTGAGTTAAAAAATAACCTAACAAACTTATTCTCTGAAGCAAAAATGAAGTTCACATCTATAATAACTAACTGGAAAGAGTTGTGTCATAGAGTACAAATAAAGCCCCCAAAATTATGTTTTGAGTGATAGGTTTTTTAGAAGATGGAAATTCTATTCAAACTAAAATCTAGTATTAAATAACAGATAATTTCTAAGGTAAGAATGGTGTTGGTGTTGATAGTATTAATAATTTTTAAATGAGCATTTTACAGAAGGGAAACTGAAGCTTAGAGAGGATCAATAACTGGCCAAAAATCACTCATGTAAGGAAGAAGTAAACCTTGATGTGCTGACTCCAGAGTCTAAGCTTTTAACTGCTGAGATAATGCCTAAACCACTTGGAGTTTCATATGTTCTATCAAAATAAAAGATAAAGGGCTCTGGGTTCTCCCTTTGGCTCTACCGCTTAGTAACTATGTAAATCACTTCACCTCAATGAAAGCATTTTATAAATTTCTGTATTTTATACAAAACTCTAAAAATACAAACATTAAAAAATTAAGTATTTGTACTTATAAAATAAGGAGACTGGGCTATATTAAGCTCTTGTCTGCTTAGAAATTCTATTGTTCTAGTCCATCAATTACTTGATATGATCTACTCATTATACTGAGAAATATAAGAGCAGTCAAAATGGGAAGCACTAGAATTTTGTGCCATTGATACGTTACAGTTACATTATTAAGAAAAAAAGGACTCTCATGTCTAAATATCTCTTGTTATTCTAGATGTTTTGCCCCACACTCCTCCCATACCTTAAGTTGAGGCAGAACTTTCAAGTTCAAATTACAGTCCTGACACTGGATATCCTTAATGGCCTTCATCAACTCTCTACTAACTTTTCTTGGTATGTACAGGGAATAATATTTCTTCTCCTTCACAGAAACTATTTCCAAAGTGCTTTGAGGAAAGGAGAAGATATTGTGATATTGTGTGATACAATATCAAACTACCTTCATATTTCAAATTTTCTGTTGTTGAATGAAGAAAATTATTCTGAAACTGTTGGAGTACAACTGCTAAGTTACAGAGATTATTATTAGCATTCTTTGCCTCAAATTCACACAAATAAATGCCGAGCAAATAAAAAGCTAAGTACTCAATATTTTTAAAGCCTTAATACTATAACGGAAATGTAAAATAAGTGTGTTCTATTTCTGCTTGATAAAGGCTAAATTCAAAGACTACACAAGTCCTTTAAATAATATACTTTCATATAAAACAATTATAACAAGAACACTGAAATCTATTCAAAAGAATACAAGTCATATGGTATCTTGCGTGTGGGTGTGGACATGTATGCATGTGTATCTCGGAATGCATCTTGATTCTAATTCATCATGCTTAGGTCTACTCTCATATTCTCTCATGGCTTTTAAAATCTCTGGTTTCAAAGTCTACAAACCCCCTCCATCTCTGGTACCCTCCACCCTGAGAATCCTCAGCATCATGTAATTTACGTACACCCTCTGGTGTTCAGTCCCCTTTGTTTCTAGCTCCTGGAACTTCTCATATATTCTAGTGAACTCAACAATGCATTTAAAAGGATTTAATAATATTTTAACTAGCATTTTTAGATATTTTGTAGCAGGAGGGTTTTCATGTTATCTAGTCTTTGACATATTGCTTAAGCAGCATTTGAACATTTCAACAAAATAAGACAGACAAGTTATCACTTCATAGATGAGAAAACTGAAGCTCAGAAAGGTTAAAGATTTACTATTAGTCAAATTTGTAGTTGTAATTAAATAATTATTCGTGCAAATATTTAACTATTCATCTTTTTCTCTAGATGCTAAACTCCATAAAAGGACTAATCCATGCCTATTTTCACTACTGAATCCTCAATGACTAGCACAGTGCCTAACTCATAGAAGGTAGTCGATAAATATTTGTTGAAAAATATGCATTCACTCATTAATGGCTAATAAGTGGTAGAGCCAGGACTAGAATCCAGGTCCTCTGAAACATAGTTCACTATACCCAGTGCATAAGTAAAACAAACAAGCCTCTGACCATGCGGAGGTGACAACACCAAAAAAAAAAAAAAAAAAAAAAAAAAAAATCACACATATAAATTTAATCTACAACTATGATTCGTGCTGTGTGGAATGGATGATGGTAATAGCAATGACTGATATGGCACAGCCCATGTTCCCATCCTCAGTATTTTACAGACATGGATTCTGAAGCACAACAGTTAGATGATACATAAGGGTCAAATGACAGTGGGGGAGCTACAACTACTCTAGCATTAATTCCAGTGCCCTTTCAGATATATGAAGTACACTGGTTGAAAGCATGAGCTTTGAAATCAGATGACCGTGAGTTTGAATCCCCACTTCATCTTTTACTCGCCTAATACCTTTTGAGTTGATTCTTCATCTACAGAAGGGCAACAATAACTACTCACAGAGTTGTTGTGAAGATACAATGAAATACAATGTATTTAAAGTTTATCGCTGTCTGGCACATAGTAAATATTCAATAAATGGTGGATATTTTCCCCCAATCTTAGATCTTATTCATTAGATAGAAGCTGGATAACTTCTCTTAAGATCTCCCTAGTTTTCTGTTACCAGTACAGATTCCTTGGGATGCCTAATTTACTTCTTTCCTTACCTACTTAATTACAACTTTTATCAATATGCTTATATCCATAACTCTCCTGTAGACTCCAGGCCCATACAAACTGCCTACCCAACATCTAACTGGATGTCTGAAAAGTATCTCAATCTTAACATGACACCTCATGATGATGAGCCTGATATCACCCCTCACTCTCCACACACCCACACTACTCTATGACTTCCCCCATCTCTGTTAATAGCAACTCCATTTCTATAGCTGTGTAAGTCAAAAGGCTTGAAGTCACTCTTAACTCTCCTTCTCTCTCTTTTTCACTCTCAGTAAATCCTGTTTGCTGTATCTTTAAAATATATCCAGAATAGGACAATTTCGCCTACCTCCATTGTCACAATCCTGGTCTGTGATGGTTAATTTTATGTATCAAGTTGGCTGGGCTACAGTACTCAGATATTTGGTCAAACATTCAGGATATTTCTGAGATGGTGTTTTTTTGGATGAGGTTAACATTTAAATCAGTGGATCCTGAGTAAAGAAGATTACCCTCCATAACAACATCCAACCAGCTGAAGGCCTTGCTAGAGCAAAGACTGGCCTCCTCCAAGAAAGAAGGAATCTGCCAGCAGACTGCCTTTGACTTGGCTGTTCCTTGAGTCTCCAGCCTGCTGGACCACTCCAACAGATTTTTAACTTGCCCAGCCTCTACAATTGTGTGAGCTAATTCCTTAAAATAAATCTTCATATACACACATCGTGTTGGTCTTGTTTCTCTGGAGAACCCTGACTTATACAAGGTTCAAACCACCATCTACTTGCACCTAGGTGACTGTAATAATCTCCTACTTGCTTTGCTGCTCTCACTCTTGTCCTACTACAGCCAATTCTCAACAGATAGCCAGAGTGATCCTATTAAACCCAATTGAGATCTTGTCAGATCTCTGCACAGAACCCTTCAATAGCTTCCCCACCTCACCCAAGTAAAAATCCAAACTCTTCACAGTGCCCTACAAGGCCCCACCTGATTTCCCTACCTCCCTCATCCTTTCTTACTTTATCTTCTTATCCTCTTCCCTTACTCACTCTTCACTATTACTTGTCAGGCATGCTCCAACCTCAGGGTCTTTGTACTTGTTATTCCCTCTGCCTGGAATATTCTTTTCCCACTTACCCATATAACTAGTTCTCTTACTTTAATTTCTTGAGATCTTTACTGAAAAATCATCTCAGTGAGATCTTCCCTGCCGTGCTATCTAAAATTTCTACCTCCTCATTCTTCCTTTGTCTTATCTTCTTTCTCTTCTCTGGTTTTTTCCCCCATAAGTATTACTCATTTTCACAGACTATATGTTTCACTTATTTATCTTGTCTCTTGGCTATTATTACCTCCACCAGAAATATACGCTCAGTGAAGGCATGGAATTTTATCTGCTTTGTCCACTATTTTTAAACAGTTTTTAGATTTTAGGACAATGCCTGGCACATAGTAAACATTCAATATACATTTAAGTGAAAGGAAAAGTCTCAAAAGCCTTCACTTGTACTTCATTGCCCTTCGATTCTCTATCACAGGGCTCCTATTTCCTCCTTTTCTGATCCCACAGCTGCTGCCTTGTTATTGGGTCAGGCTCAACGACTCATCATTTTTAACTGGTGGCCTGTAGGTCTAGGCTGATACCTGATATTCTCAGCTAAGTCTGCCAAGTTTTTCTTATTCCCCTTCTCAAGGACAGGTTGAATTCTTTATTCTCTTAGAAGAAACACTTCCTAAACTTAAGATAGCAAGGGAAAAATGATACTAACTTATGTTCAGAGACAATTTTCTTTTCTTCAGATTATCAAACTTACTTCCTCTACACATTGTAAATACTCTGAATACTAAGTCTTATATGAATTATTTGTACTGCATATAAGAAGCTGCTTGTTGTTTTTTCCATATCAAGTACGTGTTTCATAATAAACTGTGAAAAGAACAGCCTATCTGATTAATATGGTTGGTTGAATAAACAACCAGTCCAATATCAAGTTCAACTTGAACAGGATTGTAGTGGAAATGAAGCAATAATGTATGTGCTACATTTAAAACACAGATCTTTAGGTTTTAAAATAGTGGCTAAAAAAACAATTCAGAATATATTTTCAAATTTTAGCAAGCGAAGGTAAAGAAAAAGAAGGAAGACTGAAATAAGAGAAAAACAGAGGGGCAGACATTACATGTATCTATCTTAAAAGCATGTTTTTTAATCAAGCCAGATTTTGATTACTAAAGAATTAGTCTGAATTGTAGGAATATAGTTAATAATTACTACGAACATTATCTTGCTATGATTTATTCATTTATTTATTCATGAAACACTGGTTATCAACTATGAACCAGACATAAGAGCTATAAAAATAATTAAAATACGGGTTTTCCTTGAGTCTAGGGAGTGTGATAAGCAGATATACAAACAAAAAAATTTAATACAGTGTGATAAATACGATGATAAATTATGAATAAAGTTCAGAGAAAGTATAAATCTACTTACATTAGAAAGTTGTTTTTTAGCATATGTTCTAATCTGTCCTTGGTAAGAAAAGAGAAAAAAGAAAATTTATTAAATGTAATTATATTCCTTACATGTAATTAACATATTTAAAGGGCTTCATCCACAAAGCGAATTACCTTTTGGCCAGGAGCTATGAATTTGTGACAGAGTTCAACATCTTCAGGACAATTTGAGAGAACTGTCATTGTTGTAGTCTTGAAGAGGCCCTCCATAACCTAAGAGAAATGATACAGAATTGCCTGATATGTAAGCTTTATGAAAAACCTGTTTAGGGCCCTGTAAGGACTTCTCTCCAGGTTTCAATGGCTATAAATCCATTAGGCCTCTTACTTCCTGAATATACTACAGCAAGTTAATTCAGTTCCAGATTGATTAGAGGGGGCATCACAACTTCTCAGAGAAGGTCAAAAAAAAAAGAAAGAACAATGTCTGAACCTTCTGTTAACAGTTTCAATACTGGTATTGAAGTGGGCTGTCAACTGAACAGCTAAAACAAACTGATGCCTCTCTAAATTTCAGTATATTCACTTGTAGAGTTAGGACAGTTAACAGTACCTAGCTTACAGGATTGTTGTGAGAATTATATGAGATAATCCATGTATAAGACCTAGCTTAGTGCCCAGCTCAGAGAAGCACGCAACAAACATCAGTTGTGAAGAGTGGAACGTTTTGAAAAGTGCTTCATTCAGTCATTGGTAAATGAAAATAAACTTTAAGATTAGAGAAGCAATGAGATCTATCTACATCTAAATACATACATTTTTGCTTTGCTAAAGTATAAAGTAACGACACAAACCAGTGTATAAGAATTCGTTCTACCAGGGGTGTCCATAAAAGTCTCATGGGAAAAACTTGTTCTCAGAAGAAAAAAGTGACTGGAATGAAAAATATTTCTAAAATATTTTTAATCCAAACTAAAATTTTTGTTTTGATGTCAATGAAATCATCTTGTGATTTCCAGATGTGTCCTCATAAAGACACATACATGAATTAAGACCAGGCTGCCCCACAGGCATGTATCTTCCTTTCCTCTCTGAATCACTGGATACCCTATCCAACACTGGAAACACAGTGGGGCATTATCGTCTCAGTAATTTAACATGGTCAGATATAGGAAAGAACTTAATTATCAAGTGACAACCAGACAGATTTATGTACATATATAAAATATTTTTTATTTCTTTTTATATATACTTTGTAGTTTTATATTATACATACATTTTGTAGAGAAGTAAGGAATAACTTGATGAAAGAGCAAAAGGAGGCTAAAGATGTTTTGCCTTGAGGCTATAACCACCTTCAATCTAGCAGTGAGATAAAGAAATCACTAAGTAACTGAATGATTTATGAAGCGTTATATCCCTCAATCACTGCAAAAAGCCAATGTATATTGAGAGGGAAAAAGAACAGGTAGATTGGATAGTATGCTTGCATTGTTGAGGGACACAATGCACAATTGGTAAGATGAAGACTTCAACAACTGGGGCCGTTAAAGCAGTGTCTTTCGTGGGCAGAACATCTCCATTTGAAGAAGGATATCACTGGCTTTCCTAACCTTGACTTTCAGACTACACTCTATAAATATATTTATAATAAAACAGAAACTTAACTGAAGGGTTAACATAACCCTCATGTTTTTAAAAATATATTTCTCAATAGCACTAAAATAATAATATTTAATTGCTTATACCTCATAAGAGGAAAATATCCTGTTACAATATTCTGATTTAATATTTAAGAGACTGCTCTTCATCAAGATAATAATTTCCACAGAATTCAATTTATCAAAGGGAGAAAACTGAGAGAAGCAGGAGTTTATTTTTGGGAAGAATATACCTTTTTCTTCTGTCTTTAGGAAAAAGTTTATATTCCAATTAATTAAACTATTCGATAGTGTACGCCCTGAGTACCACTCAGTGGAGGACCAAATAAATAAGAACTACTCAGTTACAGAATACATAATTATAGAGCAAAGATTATAATGTTCAATATATTATCTTTATAATTTTTCCCTCTGGTATTACATTGGGCAGCGGAGACAGGGACAAGGCAGAAACAGGAGGTAAAACGTGTGGTTCCATTCTTTACAATACTCTCCTTGCCTGAGTGAAAGAATAATAAAGAATTGGGTGGTGAGCTCAAACTGAAAGCTGATTAAGGAATTTTACTGACTGAGGCTCAGGTGCTGAATCCCTAAATCTAGAAAGGGATTAACTCAACAGTGTTCCTATTGACATTTTTGGCCAGATAATTCTTTGCTGGTGGGGAGGGGGCTGTGCATTGCAGGATACTGAACAACATCCCTAGCCTTTACCCACTAGATGCCAGTAGCAACCCGTCTTCCCTACTCCCCCACCCACTCCCTAGTAGGGACACCAAAAATATCCCCTGGGGTACACTGGTCTAGAGAAATCAGTGGGAGATGTTAAAGGGGTATATGCAAGTGGACACTGTGGTGTGTGGCCACAACATCCCTTTAGGACCAAGATCTTTATCCGCGAGGAACAGTAACTGCTGATGGCACATAGTTGGGTCCCTCTTCAGGAACTGCCCAGGCCAGGAGGACTGCCTTACCCAAGGTTACACCCCTTCCCAAGCTAGCCCGTATCCAATGACTGGCTCACAGGAGGAGGCACTTGCCCTCCTCTGGGACAAATATGAAAGACCATTCTAGCTCCAAAGTTTCTCACGGAATTGGCTAAGGTAACTGTTTGTAAATGCATCACAGTTTAACTTGTCCCTCTGCCCAATGCTGCTTTCTTCCTTTCCTCACAGATATTTCTCTTGAGAGCATTCCCCAGTAATACCTGCACACAAATCTCTGCTTTAGGGTTTATTTACTAGGAAATCCAACCTAAGACAGGATAATAAAATTGTTGACTCCATTATATTTGGGAGTATACATGGTATTTCTGTTTTAAGTGGAATTGGGTCATTTACTGGGTGAATAAGAGTAGAATGAAAGAAGTAAGAGTTGATGAAAATTGCTAAAATAAACATCCGGTAATTAGAATTCCAAACTAAGATATTAACCAAAATGGTAGTGGATAGAGAATTCATAACAACAGTTAACACATTCTGGGTACTTACTAAGTGTCATGAACTATGCTAAGTACCTTATATATATTATCTGTCTAATCCTATGAATTAACCTATGAAATAGGAATTATTATTCCCATTTTATAGATAAGAAAACTGAGGCTCAGAGAAATTAAGTCCCATGTCTTAGGTCACATAGCCAGTAAGTGATGGAGCTAAGAATCAAATCCTGGTCCATCCATCTCCAGACTTGTGTGCTCTATATGGATTTATGGCCACAGCCTCCTGAAAAGGCTTCCACCCCTATTTTTATCTCCCTCTAAATCATTTTTCATAATGTTGCTAGAGAGATAATTCTAAAATATAACTCTGACCATGGCCTTTCCCAGCTGAGAACTTTCTCCTTTATCTTTTGGATTAAGTTCAAACTCCTCAGCATGGCATTTAAATACAGTCTTTCTTTCATGAGCTGACTCTTGACTATATCTCCAGCTTCATCCCTGTCCCAGAGCTCTGACAGCTCCTGTGGATGCTTTCTAATACTACAGCTATAGACATGTTTCTCTAACTATAAAGACGTTTTGTTTATTTGCCTAGCAAATATCAAGAGCTACTATTTACTAAGCCTGCTTTGTGCCAGATCCCATACTGGATGCTTTACATTACACATACATAATCTTTCATTCACTTCTCACAATAACCTAATGAAATAGCTACTATTATTCTCATTTTATAGCTGAGGAAGCTAAAGATCACTAGATGTCACTTAGGTAACATCATAACAAAGTTAATGGCAGAGCTTGGACATGAACTTAAAGCTGTTTGACTCCTGTACTTTAAAAACTATTACACTAACAGCATTCAGTAGATGTTTATTAATTAGTTCTCCATCTTCTTCATTCTATGAACACCTGTAAGGCACAGATGTCAGAGGTAAAAATGTATACAGAAGCATGTTAATGTCACAGATGCCTGATATTTAGAAACTATTTTAAAACTTGAGTACCTACCTGCATGAGATCTTGAAGGCTCTCAAGAAAAGAAATCTCTGCTTCTACCATATAAAACTCTGCCAGGTGTCTCCGGCTCTGAGAATTCTCTGCTCGGAATGTTGGACCAAAGGTAAACACTTGAGTAAAAGCTCTGCAATTCAAGATTAACAGTGCAAAAATAGGATTCACATGATTAATTTTAACATCCAATGACTGGCTCACAGGAGGAGGCACTTGCCCTCCTCTGGGACAAATATGAAAGACCATTCTAGCTCCAAAGTTTCTCACGGAATTGGCTAAGGTAACTGTTTGTAAATGCATCACAGTTTAACTTGTCCCTCTGCCCAATGCTGCTTTCTTCCTTTCCTCACAGATATTTCTCTTGAGAGCATTCCCCAGTAATACCTGCACACAAATCTCTGCTTTAGGGTTTATTTACTAGGAAATCCAACCTAAGACAGGATAATAAAATTGTTGACTCCATTATATTTGGGAGTATACATGGTATTTCTGTTTTAAGTGGAATTGGGTCATTTACTGGGTGAATAAGAGTAGAATGAAAGAAGTAAGAGTTGATGAAAATTGCTAAAATAAACATCCGGTAATTAGAATTCCAAACTAAGATATTAACCAAAATGGTAGTGGATAGAGAATTCATAACAACAGTTAACACATTCTGGGTACTTACTAAGTGTCATGAACTATGCTAAGTACCTTATATATATTATCTGTCTAATCCTATGAATTAACCTATGAAATAGGAATTATTATTCCCATTTTATAGATAAGAAAACTGAGGCTCAGAGAAATTAAGTCCCATGTCTTAGGTCACATAGCCAGTAAGTGATGGAGCTAAGAATCAAATCCTGGTCCATCCATCTCCAGACTTGTGTGCTCTATATGGATTTATGGCCACAGCCTCCTGAAAAGGCTTCCACCCCTATTTTTATCTCCCTCTAAATCATTTTTCATAATGTTGCTAGAGAGATAATTCTAAAATATAACTCTGACCATGGCCTTTCCCAGCTGAGAACTTTCTCCTTTATCTTTTGGATTAAGTTCAAACTCCTCAGCATGGCATTTAAATACAGTCTTTCTTTCATGAGCTGACTCTTGACTATATCTCCAGCTTCATCCCTGTCCCAGAGCTCTGACAGCTCCTGTGGATGCTTTCTAATACTACAGCTATAGACATGTTTCTCTAACTATAAAGACGTTTTGTTTATTTGCCTAGCAAATATCAAGAGCTACTATTTACTAAGCCTGCTTTGTGCCAGATCCCATACTGGATGCTTTACATTACACATACATAATCTTTCATTCACTTCTCACAATAACCTAATGAAATAGCTACTATTATTCTCATTTTATAGCTGAGGAAGCTAAAGATCACTAGATGTCACTTAGGTAACATCATAACAAAGTTAATGGCAGAGCTTGGACATGAACTTAAAGCTGTTTGACTCCTGTACTTTAAAAACTATTACACTAACAGCATTCAGTAGATGTTTATTAATTAGTTCTCCATCTTCTTCATTCTATGAACACCTGTAAGGCACAGATGTCAGAGGTAAAAATGTATACAGAAGCATGTTAATGTCACAGATGCCTGATATTTAGAAACTATTTTAAAACTTGAGTACCTACCTGCATGAGATCTTGAAGGCTCTCAAGAAAAGAAATCTCTGCTTCTACCATATAAAACTCTGCCAGGTGTCTCCGGCTCTGAGAATTCTCTGCTCGGAATGTTGGACCAAAGGTAAACACTTGAGTAAAAGCTCTGCAATTCAAGATTAACAGTGCAAAAATAGGATTCACATGATTAATTTTAAGTATTTAAAATATTCAGTAAGCTCTTAAGAAAAAAAAAATGTTCTGCGCCTCTGTCTTGTCCACAAATCCACACATATTAGCTGCTACATTTCTTTAATGGGTGATTATAATAGCTCCATTAAAAATGTTACATTTATAGAAACCATTTTATTCCAAAGGAATTTGCAAATGCTTTACAAACCCTATGGCTTACTAAATATAGAATTATAACCACTTCTGGATGCACTCTACTGCAGCTGCCTTAAACAGCAGGCAACTACATTTCACAGCAATTGAGAACAAAGTAAAGGAAAAATACCACAGCCCAAGAAGCCACACAGAGAATCTAGATAGTAACAGTTAAAACCAGAATTTCATGTGGATAAGGCAAGCCAATCATTTTCTAAATATACGAAAAAAAAAATCAGATATGTATGGTGATTTGCCTTGCTAGGCCTACTCAAGTCCTTTACGCCCACCTAGGAGTTTTAATCAATGCTCAGTGAACCCTGACATTTGAGGGGTGGGGTGGATTTTAAGAACTGTCTGCTTTACTCTCTGGTTTTCAAGAAGGGCTATAGTTCAACAACATAAATGGGGAAAAAATTCTTATTTTTAAATTTCTGCAGAGAAGCGAATATGACACCTTCATTCTTTTTTTTTTTTTTTTTTTTTTTGGCGGTACGCGGGCCTCTCACCGCTGCGGCCTCTCCCATTGCAGAGCACAGGCTCCAGACGTGCAGGCTCAGTGGCCATGGCTCACGGGCCCAGCCACTCCGCGGCATGTGGGATCCTCCCAGACCGGGGCACGAACCCGCGTCCCCTGCATTGGCAGGCGGACTCTCAACCACTGTGCCACCAGGGAAGCACCCCCCTTTTTAAAAAATTTATTTATTTATTTATTTTTGGCTGCTTTGGGTCTTCGTTGTTGTGCGCGGGTTTTCTCTAGTTGCAGTGAGCTGGGGCTACTCTTCATTGCGGTGTGTGGGCTTCTCATTGCAGTGGCTTCTCTCGTTGCTGAGCATGGGCTCTAGGCCCACAGGCTTCAGTAGTTGTGACATTTGGGCTCAGTAGTTGTGGCACACAGGGTTAGCTGCTCTGCAGCATGTGGGATCTTCCCGGACCAGGGATCGAACCCATGTCCCCTGCATCAGCAGGCAGATTCGTAACCACTGCGCCACCAGGGAAGTCCCGAGGACCAAGTAATCTTTGAATTTTAAGGTTTTGCTAGAACAAAACAAGAGGTTTGGGGCTTCTTAGCTGTTATCCTCAACACTCTTCATTTATCATCAGTCAAATAATATCAAGATCAGAAAACAGTACAGAAAACGGACTGTAGATATACATACCAGTTTTTTTTTTTTTTATAGTAAAGATACTCTGGGAAATTAAACAGTAAAACAATTATAGTGGAAATCATGAGATTTATTTTTTCTTTCAAAGGCCATTTCAGTTAAGGCCTAGTTGGTAAGAAGCTTAGGAATTTGTTTTGGTTCTACAGCCACCTTTCTGAGACCATGATCAGTTAACCACCGAGAATCTTAGTTTTTAAGGGAAAAACAAACCGTAAGAATTCAAAATATTACTATGATAACCTCTCTCCCAAGATTCAGATCCAGAGTTGGCTACTAGAATGTTCCTAAAAACATTGGCCTTACCTTGTCCAAAATGAAAACTCTTGCCTTGCTCCCCAAAACAAGCAAAAACAAAATAATGAACAGTACATTTTCCCCAGCTCTGTTAATCTCAGTTAACCCACCTCGTCACCCAAACCAGATCCCCATCCCTCCCTCACCGCCCACACACTTCCCTATCATATTGATCACAGAATTATATTGTTTATACCTAGGAAAACTCTTGCAGATCTAGAGACTCTTCTTTATTTCCACAACTTTGTCTTAGTGTCAACTCTTGTGTGTGCCACCTGCCTTTCTTCCTCCAGTCCCAAGCTACTGGAAGTTTTCAAACTCAAATCTATCGGCCCTAATTTAAAAATCTTCAATGGTTCTCCCCTACTCAAAGGTTAAAATTCAAACTCCTAACTTTGACTGGACCTTCCTTCACAAAGCCTTTTCTCCAGCACACTGTGGATACTCTCCTTACATGCCCCACATGCCTTTAGGCTTTTTCATTGGCGGTCCCCTCTCTGTAGTGCCCGTCCTTTGTTCCTCTCTCTCCAAATGGCAAATTCCCATCCATCCTTCAAGACTTGACTTAAATGTCACTTTCTCTTTGTAACCTTACCATACACCCCCAAATTTATTGTTCCCTCCTTTCTATGACTAACACTTTGTTTATACATTATACAGACTGTATCACTTAGAAATATAATTGTGCATTTTGTATCTTTCTCCCTCAATAAACTATGAAATATTCTACAGTAGGAAAACTGTTTTATTCATCTTTGCAACTTCAGTGCCTAAGATAAAACAGGTGCTCAAGTTGAATGAATAATAATGAGGACGACAGGCTTCTTCACTTGTAAACTGGAAAAGCACAACATCCTTATAAACAGTAACATCACAAATAATGCACAGAAAAATACTCAGATATATTTTACTGTGGCTGTTACTCAATAGCTAAAATGGGGCTTCCCTGGTGGCGCAGTGGTTGAGAGTCCGCTTGCCGATGCAGGGGACGCGGGTTCGTGCCCCGGTCCGGGAGGATCCCACGTGCCGCGGAGCGGCTGGGCCCGTGAGCCATGGCCGCTGAGCCTGCGCGTCCGTAGCCTGTTGTTCCGCAATGGGAGAGGCCGCAGCGGTGAGAGGCCCGCGTACCGCAAAAAAAAAAAAGAAGAAAATGGGGAATAGCTAAAATGGGTCAAACAAGTTAGGTCTGCCCCAAACAATAAATTCAAAAATTACAGGACCTCGAGCTTCTAATCTATGACTATGCAAAAAAACGACATTCTTTTCTGGCACTGCATCACAGGAAATTGTACATACAGATGTTCACTAATAACAAAGAATATTCTATTGAAATTTTCCAGGGCATGAATAGAAACTCCATGGCATAGGTAGAATTTACTTTGGAGCCTCTAAGGAAGACTTCTAAGAAATGGGCAGTTATCACCCTGAAATACAAGGAGGCCAATGGGATTGCTATTCACAAGAGACACATTATATATGTATTAAGGTACTAGATACAGAGAAAACAACGGTATCTAAAAAGAACGACAGATTCAAGTCACAAGGGCACCTACTTCTCACATGGATAGGGAGGGAGCTCCAAGATGTTTAATAGGGATTTTTAATTTAATAATGGTTAATGATTTTCTCTAGCAATACACGGTAAACTCTCTTGTATAAAATATAGAAGAGGATCAACGATTTTTATTTTAGTAAGGATTAGATTCTAATTGTGGTACCCAAAAGTTAAGTATTATTCTAATGGGGTAAGTAAAAAATCAATGACCATGGTGCTTTCTCTGAATTAACAAAAATATAAAATAAGCTGGAAGGTATGTTGACAAATTCCCTAATTTAGCATCAAGTTGTTAAGCAGATGAATGTTTAAATCATTCAATAAAGATCACCCCAGGTCAGCGTCCAGTGTTCCATAATACAGTAGTGAAAGTAGTAGTAGTGATAGTGGCTACCATTAGCAAGTGCTCCTTGTGGGCCAGGCATTAGATGTGAGAATCTTACAGTTAACTCCTTTATTATAACTCAATAAAGGATATATTGTTACTTCTATTTTTCAGTCTAAGAAATTGAAGTTCAGAGAGGTTAAGAAGCTTTTCCAAAAGTCACAGAGTCATAGCCTAACAAGTGGTAGAGGCCAGATTCAAATCTAGCTCTGACTCTAATGATCACAGCCTTCATTATGATATTAAAATAATGATGCTCATAACTGAACACGGACAAACCCAGTAAATAAGAGAGAAAAATTTGTAATATGCACTCCCCGCCTTCTCAAAGATAACTAGGGTGAGTAGTTTGTTGTATTTCTCTTCCTTGTGAATAGCTTGTTTTATGTATTAAACTTATAGCTCCCTAGGATATGTTGCTTTCATGCAAATAATGAGAAGATAAATTTTAATCAATATTTTGTAAACTTCAGCAAGACATTTAGCCTTTCTGGTCTTCAAATTCTTACATGAGTGGGAGGTGCAGGCAGTTTGGCATTATTCTCTAGTACCTTTTACAATAATTTTGTTTCTAGGTCCATGTGAAATCACTATTATTTTAATTTATGCTGATTTCTTCTTTTTGCTGTCTTCCACACACATGAAAGCAATTTGCAGCAAGGCTTGGCCCAAGCCACAGTTAAAATAAGATCTGAGAACAAGGCCATTACTAAAATAAGACACAAAACCAGGTGAAAGGCCAGTACTGCTGTGAGAAGAGACCAGCAGAGAAAGAAAACACTCAGTACTAAGAATCATTCTTGTGCCAATTATGGAGAAAGGAAAGCTATATATGGAAAGTCCATGAGCTTGGAGTTGATGTTTAAGATAGCAAAAGTACATTCAATACACATCAGCTAAGATAGCTACAAAAATGGCTTTTTAAAAATAAAAAGTAAAGTTACCAAAAAAAGGTTCTGCAAAGGTCACTTTCTCCCTTGTGTGGAGTTTTATGAAGCCCTAAATTGGCAAGTGGATTATTATAAAGTAGTCACTGATTGCTTTGCCATTTATTCCTTCTGGCCCTGAAATTTAAGAGCTAATCTTTATATTTTGAAAGAAAAGAGGAATTACTGCCTTCTTAGCTGGGGAAGAACTTATTCTTCAGCATAAGGGGGATCAGCAACTTTCCCTATGGCCGCCCACTCCCAACCTCCTATCACTTCCCTACTGTCATTCAGGAAACATTCATTGAACTGAAGTGAACTCACAGACAACTTTAAACTGACTTTTAAAACAGTCTTTGTCAAGTGGTATTCCCATCATCCAGAAAACAATCATCTATTTTACTACTGCTTTGTATCCACTGGATTATCAATACTGTGACATATTTGTCACTC